AGGGCTTGTCCGGGAATCGAACCCGGGACCTCTCACACCCGAAGCGAGAATCATACCGCTAGACCAACAAGCCAGCACTGTGTCGGCGGAAAATTAGCTACATGGTTCTGGCCGGTGTACAGCATTAAAAACGAGTTAACTCCTGTCGTCAGGAAACAAGGAGAAAGAAACGAATGGAAATAACGCTGCCAGATACACACGGACGTGAAAGAAAAGTTGGGCTTGTCCGGGAATTGAACCCGGGACCTCTCGCACCCTAAGCGAGAATCATACCTCTAGACCAACAAGCCGGACGAGAGTTCAAAAAATTTCCTGAAACAAAAGATAACGGTGATACTGAGAAAAAGGAAATTAGTCAAAATGGAAAAAAAACTTTCAGGGCTTGTCCGGGATTCGAACCCGTGACCTCTCGCACCCAAAGCGAGAATCATTTTTTTTATCTTTGCAATATTTATTAACATATAAACATAATCAATATTTACAAGACATTCTATACAAAATATCACAGAAATAATATCGTAGATATTTTAAATTGATTTATGTTTGATTAAAATAGTACTGATTAAAAACAATATAAAATGAGACATTTGATTATAAAACAATTATATATAATTGGACAAATTTTCCCTATGTCAATGAAACTTTGTGAAGCCGAAAGCGAAACAAGTTTTAAAGTTCCATTTGAGGGATAATTTTTAATAGATATTTTCCTTTGACATGAAAGCTCCAAGTGGAGCTTTAACAATATTAGATAGTGGGTAATTTCATGATATTGTTAGTTAAAAGTCGGCATCGATAGATCCAACTGTATTGTAAAAAGACAAGAGGGTAAGATGAATTCTTTCACAAAATTAAGGTTTCTGGTTTTATAATAACACTTTATATGATATAGACTTTGACAAAGATTATACTTAAATAGTTTGATAATATCAACATAAGAATTAGGTGTTTCTACTAAAATATTTCGTCTACTGAAAATTGTTTTGCGTGCTATACTTAAAATAATATTACTTAACCGATAAGGTACTGATTTGCTTCTAGTTTGGATGCCTAAAATCATAAAGCCCCATAATTCATCATCATTTATAGTCTTAGATAAGAGGTCTGACAGTATTAATTTTAAAAGGTACTGAAGGAGTGAAAGATCTAAACAGGAATAAAATAAATGCTCAATATCTTCGGCTTCCTCATTACAAACTGGACACGTATCATCTTGAATTTTACCAATTTTACATAATTTTACTCTTGTCCAGATAATATTGTGAATTATTTTAAAGTCTAAATCCATTTGTTTGACAACCTTACACATTTCAAAGGTATTTTTACAAACTATGGGCCACTTAATACTAGGGAATATACCATCCCAACGTTTAAAACTTGTAGGTTCACAACATTTATTCTCAATTAATATATTATATATAAGTTTTGATGTGAAATTATCGAATGCCAATTCCTCACCATCTATAATGCAGACTGGATTGCTTTCGGTAGAAGGGTCACCCGAATATTGCTCAGTCTCAATAATTGTTAACCAATCTTGAGGTATTGAACATTTGATAGTTTCAAACATCTTGGCCACATATTCTGGTTTTACATCTAGGTGACTAAAATCCTCTAACAATTCGTCTAAGGGTAAAAATCCGGGAATAATATAATATATAATATCATAAATGGTATTAATGTTACAATCAGAAATGAATTTACATTTGATTACTTTATCATTGTGCTTAATAAAGGGATTGTCAAACAGAGGTTGCAGCGATACATCAGACAGAGTACAGGGAGGAGGTCTATGGCCATGAGTGATTATGTCCCGTGCATTAAACAGAGTTTGATAGAAGGGAGGCAACTCGAATAATAGTTTTTGACTAAAATGCAGTTTAATAAGGTCTGTAGCCTTGCAATTGAAATATCTTTGTACAAAGTAATTTAGTACCGCCTTCCATGTAAAATTTTCTTTTATAATAACAACTTTCTTCAACAACTTCAACCTATGAGGGTTAAATTCCTTGCTTTCCACATGTTGCAGATAGTTTGCATCTTATCCAGTTTTAAACTCCAGTTCAAATCATCACATATTTTCTTATCATTACCTAAATAAACACCTAATATCTTAATAACACTAACTTGTTTTAAAGGAATTTCTAATTCTAATGGCTGATTTTTTACCCTACCTAGAGGGAGTATTTGACTTTTATCAATATTAACACGAGCTCCTGAAGCTTTACAGTAAGGTTCAATTACATTAAATATTTCGTTTACAGACTTCAAATCTGAAAAAGTAAAATTCGTATCATCTGCGTATTGATATATAAGTGAAGTTATATTGCTGAATTTGATGGGGATGCCCTTAAGGGGAGATAATTTAACTATGGTATTCATAGGTTCAGAACATAAAATATAAAGCATTGTACTCATAGGATCACCTTGTCTAATGCTACGTGTAATGGGAAAGAATGGGGATAAGTGTCCATTACATTTCACTGTACCTAGAATATAAAATAGTGATCCATGTGGTAAAATACGGACCAAACCCAAAGCCTTGTAAAAGATTAAAAAGGTAAAAATGAGATAAAACATCGTATGCTTTATACATGTCCAAAGATAAAAGATAAGCCTCAATATTTTCACAGTTTGCATAATCTATTACATCTCTTATAGAGTGAATATTATCAAAGATACTACGCTTTGGTACACCGCATCTCTGATCAGTTGAAATAAGCGTATCAATTACCTTTTTAAGTCTACCGGTAAGGACTCTTGACACTAATTTATAGTCATTCTGAAGCATTGAGATGGGTCGAAAATTCTTCAGATCTCTTTTGTCACCCTTTTCCTTATAAATCAGCGTCAATATGCCCTTCCTCATAGACCTAGAAAGTAATTTTTGATCATATATTATATTAACAATATTTACAAATATAGGACCTATCTTATCCCAGAATTTTATGTAGAATTCTACAGTAATGCCATCTAACCCAGGACTTTTGCCTTTGTTCATTTCTTTCAAGGTATCAGAAAGTTCAGATAAAGTTATTGGAGCATCACACATTTCTTTATCACCCTCTGATAACTTGTTGGATATGGAGCAACACATATCATTAACATAATTGAGATTATTGTGTTCATTTTTGTCCTTAGTGTATAAATCACTATAAAACTCTACGCAGTGGTCAAGTATTGAAAAAGTATCATTTAAAGGTTTACCATTCTTATCCAAAGGCTCATTTATAGCATTTTTAGTCTGTCTTTGCTTTTCTAATTTGAGAAAATAGCTAGTGTTTTTATCACCTTCTGTGGCATTTTGGATCTTAATTCTCAGGATCGCCCCCCTACATTTTTCAGTTTCATATTTATTAAGCTGATTCTCTAAATCAATAATTAAATCCGAGCTAAGTTTAGGGTTATTTGCAATACGCGCATATTCCCTTTCTAATTTGTTTTGAATATCATACAGTTCTTTGGATTTTGCTTTGCTTACTTTACGGGAGTAATCCTGAGAAATCTTTTTTATCTTAAACTTATCCCACCATAAAAGGGGATTTTGTGAATATAAATCAATTTTAATTTCCGTGTCAATCAAATCATTAATTAACTTACAGTACTTACTATCATCTAAATGCACATTATTCAATATATACACACCAGGGCCCTTGTTACAATTATCAAAATCTATACATAACTTAACTATATTGTGATCTGAAAAAGTGGTAGGTATAATATTTGAATTAATAACATTACATAATAAAGATCTTGACATTAAAATGTGATCGATCCGGCTTACTTTAAGTTGACCATCCACAATAGATTTCCTTGTAAATACTTTTTTGTCGGGGTTTCTATATCTAAATATATCAACTGCGTTATGCGACAAGGCAAAATTGTTCAATGCTAGGGAACTTGCTCTATTGCTATATTGGCCCTTGCCACGATCTAAAAATGGATTGAAAACCTCATTAAAATCACCACATACAAGGAGTTCCCTTTGGGGATCTATAAAACTATGAATGCTCTTAAAAAACTCAATCCTATCATATGGGTTATTTGGGGCATATATACACAAGATTAAAAGTTTCCTGTCATTAATATCAAGACTAACTGTTACAATTCTTCCTTCTTCATCAGATGAGGAGGATATAATGGTCACTGAGCTAAGAACATTTTTTTTAATTAAGATTGCCACACCACGTGAAGGAAAATTTGAAGAGAAATTCGAAAAGAAAATAGAGCCATCCCACTTGCACTGGATAGATTTAATTAACTCACGGTCCCAATACGTTTCTTGCAGACAAGCTATATCAATATTTACCGCATACAGTTTCTGAAATACACTATCAATTCTATCATTAGTTCTCAGTTTATTAAAAGTACAAAAGTTGAATGTTAAAAACGAAAGGAGGAAAACACACATGAGAGACCCAATCATGATAATTAAACTGAGAAAATTATTTTGAGTTCACACTAGTTTTACTATCCCGCTTATTAACCACTTTTCGAATATGCTCCGGATCTGGTTTCGTAATCAAGATATTTCTGCGCGATCGAGTAGCTTTGAAGGGCGGCGAAGGGATAGGGGGGTAGATTTTAGTGTTCTCCTCAGTTTCCTTACGATCCGATTTCATGATATGGAATTCTTTCCGGGATACAACACGTTGTGGTGGGGTGGGTGGAGGGGGTGAGGGTAAGGGTGGTGGAGGGAGTTCTTGTTCCTGATCACATTCTATGTGTTTAATCACACAATCGTCGTCTGGGGGAGGCAAGTCATTTAAAGGTGAGTTGTTATCCATGCGTGTAGATTCAGTCACAGGTTCGTTCATTTCAGAGCACTGTTCAGTATCTAATCTTAGTTTTTCAGACTTTTGCTCCGGTATACTTGACATTGAGTTGGAGTTCACACTGACTGAGTTCAAGTCTATGTTGACATCTGTGAGCTGATTGACACTCGAGTTATCCGATAATTCAATGGACGAGCTATTAAAACCGTCCTCAAAATAATCGGAACACACACACTCTGTTTCCAAATGTTTGCAAATATTACATAGTTTTATCATACATGTATTACCCATATGGCCATACTGATTACATCTCCGACACTGAATTTGAGGACAATTGGCAATTATATGAGAGTCTGAATAACACTTATTGCACACCTTAGTTTGGTTATTATGGATCACACGATAGCTTTTAGTTCCATTGATCGTCTCTAACTTAACCGCCCATGGTAGGGACTTGAGCTCTGGGGAAAAAAGACATCTAACATGGCGAATTCCATTCTCAACTGTCTTATGCTTATCATGAAAGTGTCTTACAACCTCTCCGTCAATCTCTATTCTAAAGACCTTCAATTTTTCGACCAATACGCTATCTTCAATATAGGACGGGATATCCATAAAGGACACTACAGTGAAGGGGGAATATGGGATGCGACAGACAAAATTTTTATCACCTACTTTGAATCCTTCGCTAAGTTTCTCTGCACATTGTTTATCCTTAACTGTAACTTCCAAAATATCCGGTCTCCTTGGTATCACTGCATAAACATTTCCAACTCCAATACATTCTTCTAATTTATCAATCATATCATCCAAATTATCCTTTTTCACATCCACCATTAAAATTTCCACTACACATTCCTTCGAGTAAGTCCTCGAACCCATATTTCAGGGCTAGAGGGGTAAAAAGCCCCGTACGAATATCCCAAGACTATCGTCTATACACTACAACAGTCTATACATACATTTTGTTCACAAACTTGTAAACAGGTTAAATCATAATATCACGGTTGAGTAATCTCTGGAGAGCGATGTGAACACGTCTTCTCAGCTTGAATACACAACCGGAAGTGAAAGCGAGAATCATACCCCTAGACCAACAAGCCGCCGTTAAGAAAACGAGGAAGCCATTCGGTTTTTAACATTTCGGATTAGAATCGATCGCAAAAGCCTCTGCGCTTTCCACTCGACATGCTTGATTGGAAGCGAAAACCAGCCTTTTCCTTCAAGTTGACGTCAGCCGACAGTTGATTGAGAAGAGAAACTGATCAAACAAGCTTTAATGTTCCTTTCGTCACAACGATATCACGGTTGAAAGCCAATCTCCAAGCCAGTCAGTTTGATCGCCGCCGTCGCCTATACCACACATGTACATCTGCCAACACAGACTTTTCGCGGGCGATTCTCAGCCGTGCACTTTCCCGCCAACGCACGAAAAAATGGAAGCCATTTGGATGTTGGGTCGTGGATGAAAATAGGGCTTGTCCGGGAATCGAACCCGGGACCTCTCGCACCCGAAGCGAGAATCATACCGCTAGACCAACAAACCAGCACTGTGTCGGCAGAAAATTAGCTACATCGTTCTGGCCGGTGTACAGCATTAAAAACGAGTTAACTCCTGTCGTCGGGAAACAAGGAGAAAGAAACGAATGGAAATAACGCTGCCAGATACACACGGACGTGAAAGAAAAGTTGGGCTTGTCCGGGAATTGAACCCGGGACCTCTCGCACCCTAAGCGAGAATCATACCTCTAGACCAACAAGCCGGACGAGAGTTCAAAACATTTCCCGAAACAAAAGATAACGGTGATACTGAGAAAAAGGAAATTAGTCAAAATGGAAAAAAAACTTTCAGGGCTTGTCCGGGATTCGAACCCGGGACCTCTCGCACCCAAAGCGAGAATCATTTTTTTTTTTTCTCTTTACAATATTTATTCACAAGTTCATAACATACATAGATACTACATACATGAATATACAGTATAGTATCAGTGACAGGTGAATTATTTAAAATCTTGTTTTTTATAAGTTTGTTATTGTAATATTTGTATGTACACTTTAAAATGTTAAAAGTGAGAGTATTCTAATTTCCACCGAGACCTGTGTAATCATTTTAATACACTGAATACAATAATATACTAATACTTTTATAGAGAAGAAATGAAATCTATTTCACAAGTTTCTGACTAGTGAAGATGAAAAGCAGTCTCGCAAAATGTGGCTTTAACGAAATTCGAAAAGGGTAAAGACACATCTAAAGACACTTTAAAATAATAACAGGATTGAATATTACACACTTCTTACTAAGGCGAAGTGTGTTATACACACAATTTAAAACATTAAGCATTGTACTAATCAAAAATCTATGCCAATGGATCCGTCCATTTCTAGTGTGAAAAATAAGGAAGGGTATATAAATTCTTTTCTAAAATCCTTATTAATGTTTGTATAATATTGCTTAATATAATACAGACTTTGTGATAGTATAATCCTAAATAATTTTATTATATCCAGGTTTGATTTAGGGTTATCGATCATATTGTTTCTTCTACAATATATAGATTTCTTGGCACATGAAAGAATAATATTACATAATTTAAAATGTTGGGATTTACATCTAGAAGGGGGGCCAAATAATATAAACATAAGCACATCTTCAATTAAAATGGGGCGACTTAAAATTTCTGACAGCATTTCTTGTATAAGTTGATTTAGTAGTGACAGGTCGAGGCATTCATGAAACATATGAGGCAATGTTTCTGGCTCCTCAAGGCATACTGGGCATGTATTGGTCTCTATTTTACCAATCTTGTTTAATTTCTCACAAGTCCATACAATATTATGTATTATGCGAAGATCTAACTCAATATTTTTACAATCCTTATAGGAGTCTACTACGTTTTTACACGTAACTGACCAGTTTAGTTCCTTTTTTAAATTGTGTTCCCAGTATAAAAAGCCTGTAGGTTTAACTGCCTTGCGTTCTAGTAACACTTTACCAAAGCGAGAATCATACCCCTAGACCAACAAGCCGCCGTTAAGAAAACGAGGAAGCCATTCGGTTTTTAACATTTCGGATTAGAATCGATCGCAAAAGCCACTGCGCTTTCCACTCGACATGCTTGATTGGATGCGAAAACCAGCCTTTTCCTTCAAGTTGACGTCAGCCGACAGTTGATTGAGAAGAGAAACTGATCAAACACGCTTTAATGTGCCTTTCGTCACAACGATATCACGGTTGAAAGCCAATCTCCAAGCCAGTCAGTTTGATCGCCGCCGTCGCCTATACCACACATGTACATCTGCCAACACAGACTTTTCGCGGGCGATTCTCAGCCGTGCACGTTCCCGCCAACGCACGCAAAAATGGAAGCCATTTCGATGTTGGGTCGTGGATGAAAATAGGGCTTGTCCGGGAATCGAACCCGGGACCTCTCGCACCCGAAGCGAGAATCATACCGCTAGACCAACAAGCCAGCACTGTGTCGGCAGAAAATTAGCTACATCGTTCTGGCCGGTGTACAGCATTAAAAACGTCAGGAAACAAGGAGAAAGAAACGAATGGAAATAACGCTGCCAGATACACACGGACGTGAAAGAAAAGTTGGGCTTGTCCGGGAATTGAACCCGGGACCTCTCGCACCCTAAGCGAGAATCATACCTCTATTTTTTTTTTTTTTTTTTTCTTGTAAAATATTTATTCACATAGCAAATATTTACATTATCATGAAATATAATAAGTATTACATGTATCACACAAATATACCGATGTATAAAAATAGAAACATTAACAGGTTTATTACTGGTACAAAGGTTTACATGTGTAAAAACATCTTTTTGTGTATTATTTTATGATTAATTTGTATGTAAATTTAAAAGGATAAAAAAAATACTAGCAAAAAAACCTGTAGTGTTAATGTAGCCTATAGCCTGAATGCATTGATAGAGAGTAACTGTATCAAGGGTCACTATCACAACATAACGGTAATGACTGTGTAAACAGTTTTGACAAGAGTCTTGACTATCCGCACTAGCTGAGTAATATACACGTGACTTTACTGTTCTGTCCTATATTAAAAGTGGCAGACGACAAAATAAACGGTAAAAATCATTCATACTAAACTGATGTGGATACATTTATGTTAATATAGGGTTTAAAGGCAATTACTTGGATTAAAATAGTTTTTACCGATATCATTGGGAACATCTTCTTAGTGAGCCTTTTTACGAAAGGATGGAAAGATAAAAAAAAAAAGACCCGAGAAGATGTTACCATAACAAATTGACTAAGGTAATTGATGTTCTTAATGTTAAGAACACTCTTTACATATAATAGAATATATTATCATACAATTTTAATTAATATCTAAAAATCTAAAGAAATTGACCCATCCAGCTCTAGTGTGATAAATCCAGATGGCAAAATAAAATCCTGAACAAAATTTTTGTTAATAAGCTTATAATATTTACTAATATAAAATAGATTGTCTTGGAATATTGACTTAAATAACTTAATAATATCCACATTAGAATTTGGGTGATCAATTGAAACCATTCGCCTTTTATACAAGGTGTAACGTGCAGACGACAATATGGCATTACACAATTTATAAGTTTGATGCTTCACACGGCTTTGAAAGCCAAATAACATATATATTTTAAAAATAGAATCTAAATTATCACATGTGAGTATATCTTTTAACAAAATTTTAACTAAAGTATGTAAAATATAGGAATCGAGGCATGAGTAAAACATATGAGTAATATCTTCTGGTTCATCAATGCATACAGGGCACAAATCGTCATCAACTTTTCCAATTTTGTACAACTTAACTTTAGTCCATATGACATTATGGCTAATCTTAAAATCTAGTTCCTTTATCTTAGGTATTTTAAAATTATCTGACACATTTTTCCAGGTTATTTCCCAGTTTACATCGTAATCAAATCTTTCAAAATATAATATACATTTAGGTTCTATACAATATAGCTTTAAAAACATGGAATATATAAATTTACTTGAAAAATTGATTATGGGAATTTTAACATCATTGATTAAAAAAGTATCATCAAGTACATTAGCTTTATATTCTTGTGTCAAAATAATTTTCTGCCATTCTCTAGGAATAGACTGTTTAATTATTGTAAAAAACTTAATTATCTTATCTACATTAAAATCATCATATTTGTCTTGAACTATATCTACAATTAAATTAACATTTAAAAAACCTGGAATCACATAATATATGATATCTTCAATTTTAACTATTTCACATGATTCAAATATCTCATTACTTAACATTTTGCCATTATGTCGGATAAACGGATTATGAAAAATTGGTTGAGGAGCAACCTCATTAATAGTAACAGGGTTGGGTCTCAAATTCTGATTCAGAGTGTCCCATGATCTCAATAAATGCTGATAAAATTGTGGTAGCTTAATCAGATACTTATGATGTAAATGAACTTTAAAAATATCCTTTCCTAACCGAAGGTTACCATACTTAAGAAGAAAGTTATTCATCAATGATTTCCATACTGCTTGGAAGTTCGGATCAAAATACTTCATTAAACATTTGAGTGCTAATGATTGGGCCTTAAGCTTAATATCCATGAGAGCTAAGCCCCCATTATTCTTACTATTAGTAAAGGAACTATACTGGATTAATGGGGGCTTTCCTCTCCACACAAACTTAACAACAGCTTGGGTTATCTCCCTTTCTATATAATCGGGGATTGGAGTGACTGCCAAGTTATACCACAGTTTAGACATAATAAGTGAATTTGCCACAAGAACTTTACCCTGTAATGTAATTTGGCGGCCACTCCAGTACCCCAATAACCGTTTAATAGATGCTACTTTGCTATTCCAATTAAGATTATTA